TAGTCATGGCATGCTTACCCAACGCCAACGATAAAATAATGGTGGCATGCACTTCGTCCTTGGCAAATCCGAGCACCACAAAGAAAATGCCCTTCAGTCCGAAGCCAATACCAGAGAAAATTTTCCGAAGCGTTGTGCAGGAAATGGACGTTTTCAGTCGGATAATGTCAGCCAAAAATCCGCCTAGAAATAGACACAACAAGTAAGATTAGTAGCTATTAAAACAGAAAGCGGGTTCTTAACTCCATTCCTTCCCTAAAGAGTTAAAAAGCAAAGATAATTTTACTTGAAAAACGTTTTTAAATTTTTACAACAACTCACATGAGATATCAACCCCCAATTGTTAGATGTGTTTTTACATCGAATAAACTACTTCATTAGGGTTGTAAACATTTACAATTATATTGCCTGATCTGACGATTTTTAATTTCCTACTGGATGTCGGCGTTTGATTGCGATTTTTTGAAGAAAATATTTCCTGTAAAAAACAGCTGCTAAACAAGCATACGTTCCTGTTTTGGACTCAGAAGGCTGCTATTAATGCAGTATATTGGAAACACAATAAGAGTATTTTTTAAACCTATCTTGTGGAAATTTTGCCTTCTTCAACTTAAGTCCCCACATAAAAAAGGTATCTTTCCATTTTAGAATGGTATCGAATACTGAGGTATTTTAAGGCCGTAACATGTTCATTATTACAAAATCGTATGCGTTATTTCTTACAGTTTGCCCAATGAGTAAGCAACATTGTCGTATTCCACTGTAAAATAGTATAGGCACTAGGCGGTCTTTGCCTTATGACGTAGTGATGAATACGAATTTCTTTCGTATAAACTGAATGGCAGGCATCCCAAGAAATATAATTTCAAGGAAAGGCGTTCTTTGGGAAAATGGTGAATTAAGAAAGGATTTATACAGCATGTCCTTTGAAACCTCTAAATTTAAATGTAACGGCCGGTAAACGTCACACCCAGTGGAAAATTTATAGCGCTTTGTAAGATCGAAAGGCAACCTTTTCGGTATACAGAATTTGTAGAAGACGTAATGTTTAATCAAATGGGTACGGAGAGTCAAATTGTTGGGCATGTTCACCATGAAATACATAGAACTGTATAATAGCATCGAAAAATCAATACTGAAATATGTTTTACTTAGATATCCACTTGATACAGAGTATGCTTTTGCAGGCGGTCAAAACGAAGCATGCTGAAACGCCGGCCTTCCGCCGTGACTTGAAATATCTTGAGTTTAGCCTGCACGTTAAACAGCACCACAAGCATACTGATGTACTTCGTTCGAAGCGGAAACCCATTTCAGAACTAAGGTTAAGCTTTCGTGAGATAGTAAATATTCTGTGCTCTTACATTAGGCCAGTGTTAGTTGTCCTATAGCGTGTCAGTACTGGGATCTTAATGCGTAGGACGTTTACAGAACGGGCAAAGTAACTGCATTTTTACAATCATTTCCTTCTGTCGAATATCATACGACATCATTTAAGTCGTTAAAAATAAAAAGTTCTCCATTTATTCGAATATCTGAAAACTCTTTTTTTGCCTGTTTACTCGGCTATTATTAGGCTGCATAGTTAGCTTATATTATCAGCTTAAAAATAAGAAGTAAAAATTCGTAATTTCTGCTAGTTTTAAAATAGATTAAGCTGTGTTGGGTTAACCAGCTGTAGACGTTTCCTCCGTAGAATCGCCACCAAAACGCAATCGTTGAGGCACTTATTTTCCCTGGGATCCTTACACAAACTGTTTGGTAATTTTCAATACAGTGCAGACTAGCCCTTTTTCTCCCATATACTGCTCGCAGCAGGCCCGTAGGTTGGATGTTTCAAGTCATTGCAGGCAAGGTATTTCGGTAAACACCGTCCTCTGGAAAATCAGTAAATATGCAGTAGGTACATAAATGCTACCCAAAATTGGGTTACTTGGGCGGGCATGTAAGACTGCTTACGGTGCAGAATTACATAAAGAGGATTCAGTAACAACCGGCTGCTGGTCGAATGGAAAGTCTACACTGAGAAATAAATGAATACATTGTTACTTTTTATCTTATGTAATGATTTGTAATGTCCTTGTTAATTCAGACATAATTATGAAAAACCTGCAGAAATGTATTTTTACACCTATATGGTGGCAAGTTACTTTTTTTATCGAAATTGCGCCTGAATAATGTGTATAACACGGAGAACATAAGTTTGTCAGTTGTGCACTTTGAGATAGCATTAATGGTTGATCTCTACAATACCTCATCTGTCCGTTTATTATTATTTTGGCTACTGCAGTTTACAACATGGTCCACATTCACTGCAAACGCTCATGTTTAATATGTGACGAATTAGGGATAGCGTATAAAAATATACCAGTTTTATAAGATACAAGGTCCCCAGCACGTAATTTGGAAACTCTAAGCGTTGATGGTCAATCTAAAAATGTTTTGAGAACGGAAATTCTTTTGTAAATTCAAAATATGCGATTTTTGCAAGTATAAGTATTCAAGAACATGTGAGTTTTCACCTAACAAGTACAAGGAAGCTTATTTTTAAGCATACCTACTTGAGAAAGCATAATTATTTATAAAAAATCGAAAATAATTAAAACGTCACAATTACATAGTCATTTGTTTTTGGCTGTAGTTTTTACGAGCGCCCTTAGGGATTCCTGTTCAAAACTACTTGAAACGAGGTGAGATAAGGCCGCCGATCGAATGAAAGACAAGATTGCAACTACGAAAACCTGTCGCTCCTATGCATATTGTGCAAATTGTATACAACTCTTACCAATAGGAACAAATATTGACCTTGACAGGAACGGGAAGGATAGAAGAAATATGGTCTTTTCAACGCCTGCGTCGTATCTCTGTTGGTAGAAAGTTTGCATGCAAACAGACGAAATTTGAAAGGTCCAGTCGTCTGCTGCATATGTGAAAAATATAGCAATGACGGGTTTTGAGGTGAACATAGCTAGCCAAGGAATCTTAATGTTGTTAGTATTAAAGAGCAGCTGGGGCGAAATGTTGGCTCTGAGGTAGCGGCGCTCGGCTTTGGAGAGATTGCGGTCCTTGTGTGGTTTCTCATCAATTAGACGCCACCAGAATATACACCATATTAGGCCCAAATTTGCATAAATGTAGAATACTACACCCCAACCCCACTTCTTTTCGATCTCAACACAGACGGGGAGGCCTATCAGCGGACCTAGCGAGACTCCAATTACGGTCAGAGAGACGAGGGTAGACCGTTCGTTTTGTGGACTCCAGTAGCGTAGTACTCCAAAAACGGCAGGAATGAGACAGCCTTCGGCCAAGCCTTGAAGTAGCCGCAATATAACAATCATAGCCAGCTTGGCATCGATATTTGATCCAATTGTTTCGGCCAGAGGCAGAAAAAGATTAAGACCGCATGTCATGGCAACCGAGCAACCCAGTATCAGAGAGGAATCGTGGCGAACAGTTAGGTAGCCGCCAATAGGACTAGCAACCAAGTAAGCAAAGAAAACTGCATTCTCCACAAGATCCTCTGTTATTGTGGCTGTCCAAGGCAACTGTCTGTGATGTGATGGCTTGAAGATGAGAGACCCCTTCTCCGGACCTATATGATCAACCTCTTGAACGGAGGGAAAGTTTACAACAGCGCCCTGGATAAACAGGGATTTAGGGAGGTGTGCCACTCCATACTTCGAGTTGTCCGTCTCGTCAACGAAGATGTGCTCACTGTCTTGTTTCCCGCTGTGAGTATTGTTCAGATTAGTGATGATGCCAAGCATTTCCGAGCGCATACCGATCACAACCGTGAGACAAGACATGCACAATATGGAAATAAGGTAGCGCTTTTTCCCTGGCCCACAGCAGACAGTATTCTTTGGAGGCTTTTTCTTCCTTAATTTGCCCACAATTTCCTCCGCCTGGTTGCTTTCAAAAGGTGGAATTTGCATACTTATGTTCAAATTCCATGACCAACATCATTAGTTTTAATCGCCATGGCTGTTGTTCTGCTAATTTTCTAAAAATTCAGGAGCAGCTTCACAAACAAAAGATCAGCTGCTGGAAGGTGCCTGGTTATTATACACGAACTCAGATGGGATGAATAGTAAGATCCTAGCAAGTCACTTATTGGGCACTGGGTTTAAGTGGAGAACGCGCAGGAATTCAACTCAAATAGGCGAGGCAGGTTCGTCATATCCGAAGACGCAACAGCCAATCAAAAATGAGAAAATGCGATTCGTCCAAGAGCCTCTGGGACAGGCTCGTGTGTCGGCATTTTGTAGTTTTTGTTCGTTTGACAAGAAACGGTGTAAATGTCACGCCTATACACAGATGGTGAACATGTGGACAATAGAACCGCCGCCGCAAAGCAGAAATTGTTTACAACTCCAAATATCAATCACCCAGAAGGTGAAAATATTAACTAAACAGGGAAAAGTTTGGGATTTGGACAGCAAAGCTGATCCTTTCCCAACAGTTCATAAATATATATATTACCTTAATGTGAATTTCCGCTTTGTTTAAGCGATGCCAAGCAATGGTTAATTACGTATTTTGTTAGCGAAACCCGCAAAAAGACAGCTACTTTAAACTGTGGACACTATTTGTTGCGCATGTGCTCATCCAATTTGACAAAGCGTACATGTTGCTTACCGTGGCACAAAATCAAGAAATGTCTGAAATTCAGTTTTAAATGACCACAGAGTTAATCGCTTGGGAACGCTACAATTGGAACGTTAATTATTTGTTCATATGTGTCTACAAAAATATGGAATCTTAAGGGCAGCATTCAGTAAATAGCAGCAAATGCGCAAACTTTTATTTTTCCCAAAACCTATCGAATAAAACGGTACTCTAAAACCACGTTGCAATGTTCGGTACGGAGCCTAACCCGATAATTGCCATGTGCATCTGTTTATTTCAAAGCGGCAGCTTTTCACCTGTTGCCACTAAAAAGCGAAGACTTTCGTCTACTTTTGTTCATGCTACCTTATCGCATACTTCTTCCTTTTACTCTGCTAAAATAAGTATTGCACTTAGGCCTATTAGCGTTGAGATCTCCTCCGAAGGCCTACGATCAGTGCATTTGAACGAATGAAGTTAAGATGAATGTTCATAGTAGAGAATGATGAAAACTTTCACAACTACTGTCATAACTTGTACATTTAGGAAAATGTCAACGCAGTGCGTCAACAAGACGCTGCGCATTCTATCTAAAAGAAAGCTCCTCTGTCCTAACATTCGAACATTTTATGGCCCTCCCCCTGACATAGAGCTGTAGGTGCAGAAACAGCTTGTCGTTTTAGTTCTGCAACGACAAAAATGGTTCACTTTATAAAGGTAACGTGTATCTCGATTAAATACATTAGTGATCTCATTTTGAACATAACATTACTATACAGTAAAGGAACACGGCCTGCGTATGAGCTCGGGGTCCTGATGAGATTTTTAATCAATATACTAACCGTTTACCAATGATGAACTACCGTTAGATACTTTTAACTGCCTTCACAACACTATCATATATTGGGATGATCGTATAGGCCACAAATTAATAACAAACGCCTAAAATATTTTGAAAACCTCTGAGTGGCTACTTTCTTCGTTCACCGCTAACTATATTCGGCGTTTACCTAGTATTTAGATTGTCTCCGCCTTCTGACCCGCGTTGCCAAACGTCATTGACTTGATATTAATTTCGCTTAGGAATTTGTAGTAACCTAGTGTGTTCCTGTGTCAAAACCGGTTATATCCCCCAGTTACGTGTAAGGAAGAGAAGACAGAACAGGATAACAGCTAGTACTTTACTGTCAGTTGTAC